TGTGTGTTTTTGTGCGTATGTGTGCACACTCACCAGTGCATGTATCAGACTAACAAGCTGACATGCAGTTCAACAACCCTCCACAGATAGGAGGGCATCGAAAAGGGAGTCAAATGGAGAGAGAAACAGAGCAAAGAAAGAAAAATAAACAAGAGGAGTGTGAGGGCTGAAAAAGCAATTCAGTCTATTGATGAAATCGTTCTGTTCATTTAACTGCGGAAATGTAAAGACATTTCTCTGCTCTTATTTGCCTCCTCACTCCATTCTTTAATTCAATGTATTTTCTTTTCTGTCTTCCATCCTTCCTTCACTCTCCCATCCATCCCAAAGCATTGCCGGTATCATCTAGATAGAATTGTGTAAGGTTTTCACTCTTTCCTTTTTTTTCTTTTTGCTTATTGGACTGCATGTTCTTATCAGCATCGTGAGCACAATGCTTGGTGTGATGGAAAGGTATTAGCCAACCCGTGGTAGCTACATTGTCAGCACTTCTCCCTTCTCTGTCTCTACTGCTACCACTTCTCTTTCCTCACTCCTCTTATTCTTCTATACACATTTTTATTGCTGTTTCCATGGGAATTTGGTTTTAAAAATACTGTCAGGGCAGTAAGGTGTTTCATTTCTCTACACCTACAGGCACCGACGTTTGTCAAGGTGTAGTCAAATGCATTTGTCAAATAACATATATTAAAAAGTAGTAGTGAAATAGCTAAATATTTATATCTTAGCTGCACATTTTCTCTCTTTTGATTCCATTCATTTAAAAATGCTTTATGTTCAATCATATTTTGGTTGTCTGACCATCATTTTTATTTATTATGATAACATTTTTTATCTGGGACATGGTAACACTGACAGAAGAGTCCAGAATGGCCAGAAACCGGAGTTGTGAACAAAGGAGTAGTGAAAGGTAAATGTTAAAATGACACCTGGACTATCCATTGTAAACCTCTATCACAGCTACTTATATTTCTCTTCTCTTCTCTTCTCTTCTCTTCTCTTCTCTTCTCTTCTCTTCTCTTCTCTTCTCTTCTCTAACCTAGGGGAGAAGCAAAAACAGTTGGGAGTTGTTTGAGGACCAGTTTGTGTTTATGGCTGCCATCTAGCGAGGCAGTCATACAAAGATTGTATATAATAAAAGAGTGCGAGTGCACACAGAAACACAGAGTGAAGGAGCACACAGCGAACAGCACAGAGACACACAGAGAGGCAGAGAGTAGTTGCTCTAATACGATGATTGTATGTTTGTCCCTGCCAGTTGTCAGGGCGCTGCATCAGCCCACCACTCTAATGACAGCTTGTCATACTAAAGTGGCCCACCTTCCTTCAAAATACACAGGAAAGAAATACTTCTTTCTTTTTTCTTTCTTTCTTTCTCTCTCTATCTCTTTCTCTCTCTCTCTCTCTACCTGTCTCTCTCTCTCTCTCTTTCTTTCTTTCTCTCGCACACATCATTCTTTTTTTCTGTTGTGCTTGCTCTCCATGCTGCACACATGTTTATCTCTGTTTCATGAGTCACTGTTCTTTCCTTCAAGAAGTGAGAAATGAAAAAAAGAAAAGAGGAAGGGAAAATGACAGGGATCGAGCTGGAAATGGAGACAAGGGAAGGTGGTAATCTCTCTGGTGTGTGTGTGCTGTGTGTGTGTGTGTGTGTGTGTGTGTGTGTGTGTGTGTGTGTTTGTGTGTGTGTGTGTCTGTGTGTGTGTTCTCCCTCAGTAAGAGTCAGGTAAATAGGCCTTCTGAATATTTGATGTCTGCAGGAACTAAACAGCCACTTTTGTCCTCTTGCTTTGACTGTTTGTGAAACAGCCTCATATCTACAGTAGTTACTTTTACCAAAACTCTTGTGTGTGGCCAATTTACTTACTGAAAATCCTTATTTCAATGTAATAGATTCTGATTTACTATGAAACTACTTCAAAAAATAGTTTTTTGTTAGCTTTCTTTTTGTTTGAAGTTGTACATATCACAATGTTTCACAATGTGTAACAATATAATACATTATAAAACAATATAAATACTTACTTCTTTCATGATATTAAGTAAATTAAATGGTGAAAAAATGCTGATGTAGTGTGGGGATTTATGAGATTTATAACTTTTAACTTGAAAACAGGCACATAGAAGTTATATTCCTCTTAATTGATGCTATTTAAAAACAGTTTTATAATATGGTTCTCTTCCACTGAAGTAAATCAAAATGTACAAAATGGCACGAAGAAAATGAAATTCAAACCATTTTTCTATAACAGAATTAAGTAAAACAGCTAATACTAAAATCTGATTACTGCTGTTCTTTGGGTTTTACTGGAATCATCTCATAACACACTGCTCACGTCTTTGTGAAAATACAAAAAGAAAAAGAAATACACTCAAGCCTTTTCCTCTTTATATAAATCTCTTTAAACACCTAAAAATATAAAGAATTGATAAAAAATGAGACCCACCCCCTTCCCTCTCTCTCCTTACTCATCTGAAGAGCAGACAAGCACAATAAGACTGCTCTTTCAGCACTGAGCCGTCGCTACATAGCGCCATAATTATACTGATAACATACATACATAAATGCATTCAACCTCTCGCTCCGACAGCGCACTGGCTGTGATTTCTTAATCTTCTTTCCTCTGCTCCTTTCCTCTGCACGCATGTCTTCTTTTTTATTCTTTTTATTCCTCCCCCTTCGACTGCCATTATTTTTCATTTATAAGCAGAGTGAGAGAGGGAGAGAGAGAGAGAGAGATGATGATAGAGGAAAAGAAAAGGAGAGATGGAGCAAAGAGGAGGAATGGAAAGGAAGAGGGAAAGAGAGATAGATGAGAATTTGAGAGAGAGAAGGAAAAAAAAGCACCTGAGATCTTTTGGCACTTAAACTCTTTCACTTAATGGTACTCAGAGGGATTGACGGTCGAAGGGAGGGGGCACAAAAGAGCATAAAGAGTGAAAAAGGAGAGATTAAATCATCACCATCACATCATCTACTTAAATGGGTCTACTCTCTTTTTCCGTCACCACTGTGTTTTCTCTCCCTCTACTAGAACACAGACAACCCTGTGCCATCTCTCATCATCCCATCACTTTTTTTTTCACGTTTACATTTAATCTCTTTCATGTTTATTCTACCACCTTTTATGTTTCCTCCATCAACTATCTCCCTCCTGTTTTACCTCCCTTCCTCTTTCTTGATTTGTGTCTAAACCTCTCTCACTGTCCCTCTCATTTTAAACTAAAGGCCTACCGTAGCATCAGATAAATGGATTTATAGACATTGGTGAATACCACAAAGCCAGGATTAATAAGAGGGGGGAGGAAGGGATGGAGGGAATAAAATATATGATGAAAAGGGAAGAAAGGCCAAAGTACTGTAGGCTACATCATAAATGTCATGTCACTTAATGAAAGGAAAAACTGAAAAGAAAGCACTGAATTTTTGGGAAAGGAGCATTGTTGCCTCACAGTACTTGCAGTTGTGGCTAAAGCAAACTGCTTTGTCTCATTTTTCTGCACATCAAATACATTAAATCTCTGCAGCTCATTAAAAACCGAACAACCAGATCTGAAAGCGCTCTCTGTCATTTTACTATCATCAGTCATTGCTGCCCCACAACCCCACAATCTCTAATTCTCCCAGTCTTTCTGTCTCTTGCTTTGGCTGTCTGTCTGCCTACCTGTTTTCCTGTCTATATCCATTCCCCATACCCCCACCCCTTCCTTCACCCGACTGGCTCTCCATTCTCCGTCAAGACGCTGTCTGTGTTTTATGGGTCCCTGTAGAACAGGGATCTTTTACAGGCCGACTGGACTTTAGAAGCCCCTCGTTTAGCAGCATCCTGCCTTAATTAAAAACCCCTTTTGTGCTTTCTGCTTTTAACAATGAAAAGAGAGAGAAGGGAGGGAGGGCAGGGTTAGAGGGATGGAGAGTGGTAATGCAAAAAGGAAGAGAAAGAGAGAGATGGCAGTGAAAAGGAAGTGATAGGGAGACAGGCAGATAGATAGTAAGGTAGACAAAGGAAGGGATGGAGAGATATGGACACAGAGAAGATAGCTGTTAATTACAACTGCCATTAACAAGACACCAGGCAGCCTCCTTAGGGAGAGGAAGAAGGGAGAGGAGAGAGGGAGAAAGCAAGGGAAGGAGGATAGAGGAAAGGAGAGTCAGCAGAGAAGAACAAGAGATGAGGAGAGGAATTCAGCACTACTTCTGCACAGATTTGTAGTTTTATTGTTTGTTTTCTTTTAGATACCGTTTTATATTGTATGGCTTCCCCTAACATCTTAAAAAGTCAGTGTGAGCTTGAATATGAATATATGAGTGGGTGTGTGTGTGTGTGTGTGTGTGTGTGTGTGTGTGTGTGTGTGGGGTTGGGTGAGCACCCTTGTATATGTGAGGCTGTCTTTGGGATGATTGAGCAGCAGAGAGGCTGCTTACTGATTACCTTCATGTAGAACAAACTGCTATTGACTGGAGAGTGACGGATGACCATCGGCCCTGAGCATGTGTTTGTGTAACTGTGAGGTACTATAGATGCTTCTCTGCTACTCTCTCTTACACATGGTTTCATTAATGAACCATAATCTTTTCTTTTTTGTATTTAACTCTCTTACTATCTTTATTACTTCCCCCTTTCTTTCTCTTATAATTTCTCTTAAAAAGCAGAATAGCAAATCTGACGGATGGATTTGTGTGTGTGTGTGTGTGTGTGTGTGTGTGTGTGTGTGTGTGTGTGGCATTTATAGAACTTACTTGGCCCCTTGAAAATATATAAATCCATCATAGAAAGTGAAAGTGAGGAAATACGAAAAATGATTGCTATGATTCGTCTTTCAAAAATAGAATTTCTTTTGCTGAACACAGTCTTAACTGTATCCTCTCTTCTCCTCAAGCTCTGCCTTTGCTCTAACTCTTCTCTCTCATGATTTTCCTCTATAAATATCTATTTACATTTTCTTGTAATACTGTTCTTCCTCGTCTTCTTCTATTTGTTCCTGTCTCAATCCTTCAGGCTTCTCTGCAGAATGTCCAGTAAGGAGCGCCACCTTGAGTCCAACTGTCCGTCCTCTTATATAAAGACTGAACCGTCTAGTCCTGCCTCCCTGACTGACAGTCTAAACCATCACTCCCCTGGTGGCTCCAGTGACGCCTCAGGCTCATATTCGTCCACGATGAACGGCCACCCCAACGGCTTAGACTCCCCGAGCCTTTACGGCTCCAACGCAGGGCCCCTGGGTCCTGCTGGCGGCCCTGGATCGAAGCGTTACGATGACTGTTCGTCAACTATTGGGGAAGAGTCACAGATTAAGTGCGAGTACATGCTGAATTCGATGCCCAAGAGGCTGTGTCTGGTGTGCGGGGACATTGCGTCAGGGTACCACTATGGAGTGGCATCCTGTGAGGCCTGCAAGGCCTTCTTCAAACGCACCATTCAAGGTTGGCTTCCATTTTGACTTTGTGTCTGTAATTATCTCTCTGTTTGTCTGTCTACATTTCTGTTTTGTCTCTTACTGTATCAGCTCCATCATCACAGGTTTGGTTCCATCTCGTCACTTGTCTCTTTCTGTTTTACTTTAGCCCTGTTTCAGTGGCTCCGTTTGTCAAACTGATGTAACACATAATGTGGATGTCTCTGTTGTTTTAGTTTCGTTAAAAACTGTAGACATTACAATGAGTTGTGATCTATTTGATGTTGAACTGACTCAATGACAGATCTTAAAGACTGTCAACAAAAGTTCTGTTGTTATTTCAATTTGATTTCTTCCAAATTTACATTTAGGAAGCTATGAAAGTACATGACAGGTCATAAATACATCACAGCAAAAGAACACACCAGGTTGGCTTAGGAGAGTGCAAGGAGGAGGTTAAAGGTGAAGATAGTGTTCTTTAAATTGAAATAAATGTGCTCCTTAAAAAGGCAGAACCTTTGAGAAAAATATTGCACACACGGCACCTAAAACATAAAGTATGGGGTTTTTTTTCAAATGAAATGCAGAGACACTCACATAATGCGCTCCCCCACACATGCACATACACCTGAGCCACTATACTAGATCCAGGACATAGGATAAAAGCCCCAGGCCAGATGTGAACCCAGATTTTTATGTGGCACATGTCTCCTCCTCTGTCTGCTAAGTGAGCCACCGGGACACCCACCAGAGTCTATTTTTTCACTCTCCTTCACCCATCCAATCAGGCACATACATACAGACAAACTCCAAGACACGCCCCCCTTTCACCTTCAACCTTGACCTCTTTGTCATCAACAGCAAAAAGTAATTTCCAGGTGGTGTTTGCATTTCTAGGTCTACCTGCTTATGCCTCACAGGAAGAGTGTTAGCCATAAGCCTGTTGTCTCGGAGATAACATAGTGTCAGAGGAAGGCCAGAGGTCAGGTCTGCAGGTCAAGAGTTCAGTTTAGGGGTAGAGGAGAGAAGGGATAGACCAGTAATCCACATGATGAGAAGAGTACCAGGAATTAGGCTCAGTAATCCCTTGCTCGTCTCTTGTTAGGGTTAGAAGTAGTTCAGGAAGTGGACAGGTATTTGGACTATGCTCTTCAGATTTTGTGGATATTCAGTTAATGCTCGACTCACAGCTTGATCCCCATTATATCCTTCATTTACCCTTGTAGACACAGTATAGGTCAGTCTTACAGACAACCAATTAGCCATAAAGCAAGCCAGGTAGTCAGCTTTGTTCACTGATCCCTACAGTGCAACACTAAGTCTCCTTTCCTAGTTTCACACGACTTATACAATATGTGGACTAGTATTGACAGTGTATGTAATTTCACAAATGTAGCACTTTTGCCGAATGTACAACTTTTTTTTGTTTTATACACATACTCGATTGTTTTCCTCTATAATGAAACAACATTAAGGGAGATGGGCAGTGGTAATCTATATTTTTGTTAATGCAAATAATTTCCATGAAAAAAAAAACTGTGTTAATCAGCCTCTCAATACTGAGCCCTGAGCCAGGACAATCTTTCAAAGGACAGAAGAAACGTATATACCTTGGTTTAAATGATTTTATAGCATATAATATAATACACATATTATATTAGCTAGATACCATATGTTTTTGGCAAACATCTGTGGAATACTTTCAGTCACTACGTTGGTGCTCCAGCAAGTATTTATGGCAGCAAGAGAGTGTATGGACTGTAGAAATGACCTAAAGAAAACTACATTGCCTGTGTTGATCATACAGAAAGTAAGCTACATCAAGGATTGGCTATATAGATGATACTTGTTGGTGCGATCAATTTACTGTTAGCCCAGGTTGTTTCATGGCATTTGTTGACAATAAGAAAACAATAGAATATAACCTGAAAGCACTTGTAGGTGTGGGAAATGAGAGAATGGATTTTTTTTCCATTTTAGGGCCACCAAAGTGTATAGTTGATCAGCAAGTGATACACATTTGAAGGCTTTGTGTTTGAGTAATAATCTTTTATGATTTCATTTTTTAGATAATTAATAGGGCCCATCACTCAGCAGGACAGCCCTCCTGTCAGTCAGTCTACCAGCGCAATAACCAAGCGACCAGTCAGCCAGCCAGCCGCCATCGATCCATTGAGTCAGTCAGTCAGTCAGTCATATCGGACAGGATTCATCTATCTGCCTTTCCATCCATCCACCTATCTGTCGCTGCTTTCTTTTGCCACCGATAAGCAGCTTTCTCAGTAAAGCCCCAGAGAGAGCGCGAGAGAGACAGGGAGATGTGGAAGGGGGGGTGGAAGTCTTACATCCACGAGATGGTCACCACTACCTAGAGATGACCGGTATGTGTTTATTATGGGATGAGATCAGAACACGGTGAAATCCTGACAAAGAGATTGGAGCGCACACATACAGAGATAAAGGTAGAGACACACACGCACAAACACAAACTCACAGAAGCACATTCCCTCATAGACACCAGCACTCTTGAGCAGACAGTCACATAGATGACCTTGTAGTCTCTCTTTGTATAGATTTAACCCCCAATGTGTCATCGCTGCAGTGTCTAATAGTTGACCAATTCCAGATGTCTCATTTCATTTAGAGGGCTTGTTAAAGGTGACACAGGTGAGGACACAGTTACAAATTAAATACAACACCTCAGCAAACATATAGATATGATGCCTCTTCGGAGTTTGACCTTGAATAGATTAAAAGCAATGCACTGTCACCCATGTCTGTATTTGTAATCCCCTGGTCTCCTTTAGTGGACATGTTGCAGATCAGGAAGGCCAGAGTTAGATGTTATGGGTCAAGACTTTGGCAACACAAGTGAGAGGACAGTTGTCATGAAAGGTTTTGATGAAATACAGCAGTTTGATGAGGCATAGCATGTACAGTATAACCCTCCAGTGGAATATACTGATAAATCTAAAAGGAGAATACCACCCAATTTAAAAATTCACCATTATTTTACATTCTTGATCAAAATCAACATTTAGAAATTCAACTCTGCTAGATGGTTATTAAAAAATTACTAATAGTACATCAGCAATTTCCATAGCTTCAGTGGACACAAATTTATAGAGAAAATCTACCATAGTAAAGCATTATTAGGAACAAATCTCAGCGCTTTTTTAATCAGTGTTTGTGCTACAGTACCACTGTTTGGATGCAGACTGAACAGTCTTGGAACAAATGGGTCATGACATTATCTTTGGCTGCTACACCAGCCAAACTCATCCACGGACAGTGAGGATGTGTGTTAGCCTATGTGTCTGTGTGTGGGCTTGTGCTCATCCAAATGTAAATGAGTGCAGGTTATGTGTATGTCTCTGCACATACGCTTGTGTTTATGTGCGGTTGTGAGTTAGTTTGTGTATCTTGGCTGGAAAGCAAAGCCAGCCTCAGATGGGCAGCAGCAGACATATTGGTATGTTTCAACCCATTAGCCAATAAAACCGCAGGTAATCACCAAAAAAACACCTCCAGCTGGACAGGGAGGAGAGCATGGGGTGGAAGAGGAGAGGAGAGGAGAGGAGAAGAGAGGAGAAGAGAGGAGAAGAGAGGAGAGGATAGGAGAGGATAAACTCCCTTATGATAAACAATAATTTGAGACAAGGAATGACAAAAAGAAGGAAAAGGGTGGGGGTGGGGCGAATTGGGCACATGCATGTAGAAAGGAATTAGTGGTATGTGTGTGTTGGTGTGTGAGTGTATGTGTGTCGCAGCATGGAGGAAGTGGCTCTGGCAGCTGCTGTTTTTGTGGCGTCAGTCCAGCGACACCTGACAACCTGCATCTATCACTCCCTTATTGAGAGAGAGGGATAAAGGGGAGTGAGGAGGAGGGCAAAGTGTGGGATAGGGAGGGATAGGGCGATGAAATGGGAAGAGAGAGGCAGCAAGAGTGAAGGAGAAAAGTGGGGGAGAGCAGCAAAGAGGATGGTGGGATAGATGGTAATGGTGTAGAGCAAAGGAACAACTGAAAGGAAAATGTGAAAATGGCAGGGGGGATGGTCAAACAAGTCCATATGAGAGTTCTGTTTATACTGCCCAAAAGAAAATAAACAAGTTTCTCAATAGTTAAACAATGTTAAATATACAAATACATATTTTCATATTTGTATATTTTTATATAGAATGGTAAAGTCCTGAGCTAAGTTATACCATGTCACTTTATGACCGCCTTCGCCCTCTACCTGTATTTTGTGTTGCTCTCTAGTGGAAACTGTCTTCTGAAAAAGCCAAGGTACCAAGAAAGGGAAGCGAATAGGAGGGAGATGCTGATTTTATGTCAAGACAGAGTCAGTGTTGTAACTTCAGGAGAGGCACGAGAGGACGGCAGCCAAAGCACACACATAAACATTCATATTATACAGTCTGTACAATGGTGGTCAATTGTCATGCAGCAGGTGGACATACACACACATCTCAAAGGAGATTGCAAGGGATTTGAGGCCCTCATATATCCCCCCTCACTCACACCAATGCACACATACAAACCCACACATTATACATAGGAGGACCTCTCCGCTCTAAGCCCACCCCAGTGCACAATAAGACACATAAAGATAGAAATAAAGACAGAGAGAGAGAGATAGATGACATTCTGATATAAACCCTTTTTACTAATTCCTACCCTATACCCCTACTCTAAAACAGGACACTTATGTCCAAGCATGTAACGAGTAAAGAGCCAGATGACAGGAGGTTATATATTCTAATATCACACCTTTATACTGGCCTGGAATATATGCCTACAGTACCTACCGCCTTTCTGAATATGTACAGTCTGTAATATCAAGTATGTTTTACACAAATACGCCTGTATTAAAGTCCGCCAGTCAAGGTAATAATTACTGTTGAGTTGGGGTGCTATAAATTTTCAGTTTCACAAATACTGTTGTTTCTGTCAGGGGGTCAGTTTAATCAGCAAATAATATCTATTATTATTATTGCTTATTGTTGTCCACCTCCACAGTAGCACTCAGAATTTGTAGCTGTTAACATATTTTTTTCTCATTGAAGGTTTAACACTTTTAGGCTCAGTGCTACCTGGCCTGTAAGTGGCTTTTTACAGCAGTTATCCATTTTGCAGCGCTTGCCTGTTTAGCCTTGCACTAATAAGCCCTTTGACTGACTACCCATTAACCGACACACATTCTGTCATGGCATTAGCACATTTAGCCTTAGTGCTAGGTAAGTGTCTGTCTTAATTGCTGAATTAATTCACTCCTCCTCTATCATCCATGTGTAAAGGTTGGGTGTAAGCTTACTAGTCCCATTAGTAGTGTCCATTAGACTGTATGGGTTCCCCCAGCACTTAGCATGTTTGGCCTTTACTTTAACTAATAAGTTCGATAAATGAGCGTCTTGTTACCCATTAAGAAGTGTTTGTGCATTTAGCCTTTTCCCAAGCTAACTAGCCCCCTTAATCAGCCCAGTAATGAGAAGCATCCTCTCCACAGCAGCAGTCAATAGTGATCACTGTTTACTCTGTTTCAGTGGGAGATGCATTGGTTTTCTTGGGTACTGTAGTTGTCAGCTGGGCACCGAGGGGATGAGAAATAAGGGTTTTATGGTTCACATCACAACACAGTTCAGACAAGATAAATAAACCCTCCTGAACAAAGAAACCTGTTGGAGTAAATGTGTAACAGTTTAAACAAATCCATAAGTGTGCTTTGCTTTGACCTGCATGGAGGCAAATTAATACTGTAAGTGGAGGATAAATGAGCAGAACTGGAGGAGAGTCAAGCTGAAAATGAGAAAACAAAAAAGGAACAGTAAAAGAAGAGGGAAACAAGAGGCACAGTCGATGGTCAAGAAGAGGTATCATTTAGACTTAGAGTAAAATACAGAGGGTTTCAAATTTGTATAGGCAAAGGGCATGACAGTAGAGAGGTAGAAAGATAAAGAAAAAGATATGGAAGTAGAGTAAAAGAGAGGAGAACAGAAGAAAGATGATAAAAACATTGAATATATTGTAGTAATATGCTAATTAGGAAGTAAGTTACCTACAACACAGAAAAAAAGAAATAGTGAGGCAGCTGACAATTAAGGGTAAAAGTGGTATTAGCCTCTAACGCACTAAAGGTGTTGTCTTTGTTGGCCAGGGTTGTGAAGTTAATGGACTTACATCAGCTAATAATCTTAGCCTCAGGTCTGCACTGGAGTCTTCCCGAGAGCAAACTGCAGCTAGTCACGCAACCTCACCTTGCTGTAGCCAAGACACATGCACATCATCTTCATAGACACATAGATTAAGGTAGCAAAGTCAATATTCATAAAGGATTATTTTTATATTTTACAGTACTTGTGCCCAAATCTATCTATCTTTTTTTTCTGATTCATTTAATTAAACCATGTGTTATATTTTTGTCTTCAGGCAGCAGGATTTGCTGAGTACTGCTATCAAACAGGTTGTCTGCCCATGTGTCTGTTGATGTATCTATCTGAAATGAAACCTCTCTCTCTGTCTTCTTCCAACATGTCTACATGCCACAGGCAACATTGAGTACAGCTGTCCAGCCACCAACGAATGTGAGATCACCAAGAGGAGACGCAAGTCGTGCCAGGCCTGCCGCTTCATGAAGTGTCTGACTGTGGGCATGCTGAGGGAGGGTAAGGGAAAAGGTCTCTTACTTATCTTTCTCTGTTAACTGTGCTACATGTAGCATTTTAAAGCCTATTGTAATTGTTCAGTTAATGGAGGCCAGTGCTGATAAGATTAGCAACTTCTACCAGCCTCAATACAGCTTTTTGCGTCATCTGCCAATGTGTTAAATTTCTAAGTGATCTGCTAGATTGATCTATGACACACAGATATATTGTTTTAGAGGATGGCTGCAGTTTCTCTTCATGACACATGTAACGTTAATGTGAGAGCTATGGAAAGCAATTAAAAACTGCTAATTCTAGTTCAAGATTAAATAAATTTACATTTGAAACACACAAGAACAAACAATGCCTTAGATACAGGCCAGCCATCTACTCAAACATTAACATTAACTTTACATTAATTTAACCAAGGTATTATATCAAAGTATGACAGTGATTTATTGATGTTGAATAATGCTACATGTAGCACTTCAAAGAAATTGTTAATACTCCTTTTGCACAGTATAGTGTAATCTATTTCTATCTGCATCAGGTGCTTCTTGTTGCCTTCTCACTTCCCTGTCCATCTCGCCACTTTCACTCTTTTTCATCCTCATGCTGTCTGTTCACAGCTGTTTCTCTCTTTTATCTGACTCCCTTGTCTGTCTTCTTATCTCGCCATTGCTTAACATTGATTTACATTCTTCTCTTCTTTCCCTGTGTATGTTCACCTTTCACTTCCACATACACAAGTTACACACAATAGTTTCTGAGGCCACGTAGCCTACACAAACACAAACACCCACTTCCTGACACTGATTCCATTCTTGGTTTACTTCACCTAAATGAGGTAAAGATAGAAATTACAAGATAATTGCGACACTCACACTATTGCAGTTGTTCAGTGGTGGAGGGAAAAAAAAAAAAAAACAAGACATATTATCTTCCCCCGCACCACTTTGATTAAATACACTCACTCTCTCATTTTTGCACTCCCTCGTTGCCTCTGCCTCTTTCTCTCCCTCTTGTCTGCCCACCTCTGACCTTTCTACTCCCACTGCACTTCCAACGATGAAAGGAGGGAGAGGAGTGGCGAGGGGGTAAGACGAGGGCCGATAGAGAGAAAGAGGCATAGTCAGAGGGGGAAGGTGGGGGAAAGCTAGGGCGAGGGAGGAGGGGAGGGAGAAGAGATTGATTTATAGGAGCAGAGGAGAGGGACCAGGGGAGGATGAGAGGCAGGGGGAGGATGGTTGAATGAAGCAGAAAGTGTGTAAGAGAGAGAAAGGAGAAGAGAGGAGGGTCAAGGTTGTAATTGATGGGAGACCTGGCCTACGCCCCCTTCCTTACAGTGGTCAGGGAGCGTGCCTCTGCCGACGCCTGCCAGCCCTCCCTCCATCCATTCCTGTCTTCATCTCTCTCTCCAATTCTCCCACTCAGTATTATTGTATTGTATTAAATGCATTGTATTGTCCCACTTCTCTTATGCCTTTCATCCCTCCATTCTCCTCTACACTTCACTCTTGTCTGTATCCCGTTGGCAACATGACACCTGCCCATACCTCCAGCTTTTCATCCACTCAAACTTCATTATAGGACCCGAGCAATAGATAACATAACAATGGGATCTACATGAAAATCTGTGCAAAGTATGGTCTTCAACAAAAAGATTTTCTTTATTTTATACCAACTTAAACTACACAAACATTTTCAAAAATCTAATGACTGAAATTCAAACTAAAACTAATATTATTGTAGTAAAAGGGTTCAAATGAAATGAGATCAAACTTTTTCATTTGGCTGGAGCTTATCAGTGTCTTTCTTTCAATTTTTCAAGGAGCAAAATGCTTCAAAAGGGAAGGCAATGTTAAGAAAACCTTTCACCATGAGCCTTACAGCTTCAGACACACAAACACACATACTGACACAAAATTCATATATATCTTCCCCCATCACTACCTCCAACAATCTAGATTCCATTTCACTGCAAAAGCATGCTCACCTCTCTGTCTGTCTCTCTCTCTGTGTTTACACACACACACACACACACACACACACACACACACACACATTCCCAACAAGCTGCTGTTGTAGCACTTGTGCTCCCGGTTGATCTGACATAGGCAGAACCTATGTCTCATCTCCTGTTTTGTCTCGTGTATAAGTGTGTGGCCACAAACACGCACACACACGTGTAAGTGCATGTATTATTGGCAGCTCCAACAGTCTCGCAGTTCACACAGCTTAGAGTGCAACTTCCTACTCAACACAGAAACCACATCGCCCTTGTCGATAAACAAAGATGTCATTGACAAGGGACTATATTTTTTTTTACTGATCATTTCCTTTTAATGCAACACTTTTAAACACATTTGTACCTAGATTTTGTTTAGCTCTCAATGATGAAGAAGCTCAGACAGACAATGGAAAATAGAACAAGAGAGTGTGTGTGTGTGTGTGTGTGTGTGTGTGTGTGTGTGTGTGTGTGTGTGTGTGTGTGTGTGTGTATGTGTGTGTCCACCATTTAGCTGAGGGATATGTGTTTGCGTGTTTCTGTCCTGAGCAGGCAAACAAATAGCTGCCTTTTGTTGCCACTGCTTCCCTGCTCCACATACATATATCATGCATACACACACACATGCACACACACATACACCTAGGCCTACATATATATACATCAATGTGACAGACCACAGCCACCCCATTTGTTGTGCTGGGTGTGAATTTAATACAGGGGGTCCCTCTCTACATATGAATAAGGGTCATTTGGAAAATTGATACATCCATTTTCTTATATTTTTTCATTTTCAGTCCTTTTGAACCCATGGGAAATTTGAAATAGATCAACAGCTATATAAAAGAGCTAAACATAGTTCTTCACCTTTGCTTTATTCTGCTGGAGGTGTATAAATGTAGGCTATGTATGTATAAATTTCTTGTCATTTTTAAAGAACTAGTGAATGCTGTGGATACACTAAATATGTAATAAATAATACTGATATTGTCCCTTACTTGTAAGTTGCTGTGGATAAGAGCTTCTTCTGCCAAATGTAAATGTAAATGTAAATTTCCTCAAAAATCACCTTGAATTATAAACACAAATCAGAAAAAAAAAATTCACATTGCCAAAATGTAAAAGAAGATTAGGTTAAGATATTTGTGTTTTGTTGGCAAAGAAGGTGAGGAGACATTCTTTACAAAAATGGTTATTTACCAAATGCATTATTTTGGTTCATCATGTTGAACGACATACAATAACATACGTCTTTGTAAAGAGCAATGTATAATACGACTAACGCCGTTGTTATACTAAACTGTTATTACTCTGAACTAACAGTCAACAACAACCACATTTAAGATTATCGCGTTTCATGCTGACCGTCTGGGTGTAAGCATCGTTGCAGCGGAACTGAATAGATGGTAATGGTAAGTGGCTAGATCAGTTAGCATCAGAGCTAACTGTGCTTGTCAGGGGCTAGCTCACGGGAGAAAGGTGAAGATAAAGTGGGAAGGGTGGAGATGAAGTGTGGTGGATGACATGAGTTGCGTGTGTGTGTGTGTGTGTGTGTGTGTGTGTGTGTGTGTGTGTGTGTGTGTGTGTGTGCACTGTAGTTTACCCCTTAGGGCAAGATCTGCCTCAAATTAGCTTTGTCGCCCTGGGAGACAGAGAGGGTGAGACGAAGAGCAAGTGAGGCAGCAAGAAGTGTGTGTGTGTGTGAAGAGAGAGAGGGGAGAACAAGAGGCCAGAGGGTCAGTAAACCAACTCAGAGTGGAGCCGTTTCTTTACACGTTCTCTTAAACACACACCTGATCATGTGAATACACACACACGCTCAGCCTCGTCTGTGTGGAATATTGGATTTTCTCACCCTCTACTGTGAGGAGGAGAGGAGAGGAGAGGAGAGGAGAGGAGAGGAGAGGAGAGGAGAGAAGAGAAGAGGAGAGGAGAGGAGAGGAGAGAAGAGAAGAGGAGAGGAGAGGAGAGGAGAGGAGTAAATAAGCAGGGGGTAAACTGAAGGAAGAAATGAACATGGGGCACCCACCCACCAATATGTAGCAGCTAATTTCTGAAGCAAGGCAATTAAAAGGCCTGACTATATTATGAGAACTTCCCCTCTGGCAATGGCTGTCTGTCCATTTTTAATGAGGTCATAATGATGCGTCAGCTAAAGACCGAAAGGTCACAGGGGCGGGGCTTAAATCTGCCAAGAAAGAGAGGAGGGGGGAGTGAGAGAACAGTGGTATAATTGCAGGTAAAAGATTTAATGAAAAATAATGAAACAGAAGAAAGATTAAAGCGATTTTTAACAAATGCTAACGTGAAAATGCATTTATTTATTTGACAAGTTAAAAAAAACATAAACAAGCAAAAGTAATAACTCTATAGCTGTCACAGTTCAATTTATATACAAATGGCAGGGCAAGACATACATAATATATTCAACATCAGTATTAATTCGTGGAAATGTCATGTACAGAATACAAAACACAGATCAGACATTTGAACATGAAAGGCTTTGGCAGAGTCACACAGTCCAGGAGCCAGCAATATTCAGTATGCATGTTTACTCTACATATGGTCATATTGACAGATTTGCTCCCTTACAACAGAGCAGCTTTGATGATGGCACGTCTGATGAATCGTGGTTAAACAGACAGAATGTGTCGCATCCAAAACCAAAGCCTCCATCTCTGTAATGCCATAAACGGCCAGCTGGATTCAGATGGTAGACTACTAGAGAGAAAAATCCATGGACTGCAAATATAAACCTTGGCACATTGCCCCACACATGCACACACACACACACACACACACAGAAACACTAACAGCTCATGCCAACTTTGGCCGTGCTCCCCATGGCCTCTAAGACCTAATGAGTGAGATCGGGTGGAAGGCCCCAGTCTGTGTGAATACTGGTGTGTGTGTGTGTGTGTGTGTGTGTGTGTGTGTGTGTGTGTGTGTGTGTGTGTGTGTACGTGTGTGTGTATGTACGTACGTGTGTGTACGTGTGTGTTTGGTGTGTATA